CAACTCGGTCGTCCCCGTCAAAGCTAGATCATCAGGCGCACACAGCAGGAGGCCACCCTGTGGGCTACCATCAAATCCAGATTATCAGGTGCACCCAATAAGAAGCCACCCTGTGGTTTCTATATTATCAATATCATATCATCATATGCACACGGGGCACCGATCTCCCATACGGGCAACGGTCTCGTAGACTGCCCTAACAAACCCATGGTGACCTACTTTATCCCAACTCCATACATACAAGACATAGCATTATCAGAACATAATTAATCAAGTATTGCAATTAAATGCGACCATAGCAAACAATTAATTAACATGATGCAAATACACAAGTAGACATTCATAGTTAATTATAACTAAATAGAGAAATAGTAATCAACAACATATTATTATATAATTGATCCATCGAAAATAATAATAATTAAATAACTAAATAAATAATAATAATAATATAATAATTAACTTTATTTATTATGTATTAGTTACAGAATTAATCCTAATAAACCAATTAATTTAATTATTTGATTAAGACTATATTGATTAAGACTAACCTAGGTTCTATCGAAATTTCGGCGGAATCTCCCCTAGAATCTGATCAAACCATAATTCAATAACAAAATTTTCAAAGCCCATCCATTGGGCAATTCACATCAACTCATTCCATCCGCCATAACCATAATCATTCATTTAATCTTCTTACTCAATTCACACAGCCCATGCATCGGGCAGTCAATCCAAATAACTCATCCTCTTTAGGCTACATATGTCATCCATCACACACATGCACATTCAATTAATAGCTCCAAACCAACTAATCAATAAGTTATATTAGCCTTGAGCATATTTCAATGATATTATTAAGTGTTCTACACCTAGTTACCAAAGAACTAAACATTTTATAATAAAACTTGATTCGCCAAGTTAAATACAGGTACTCTCATTTGGTAGTTTCTATATTATACTTGCTTGTCTAAGCCTTAGATTTTAATTTCCCCATAACAATATTTTTATCAAATTCCTAAGTCAACCAACATAATTATTAACTAATATTAAAATTTTTAATTATAACTAATATTCATGAAATGTATGATGTATTTAAGTAATATTCAAAATTGGAATTTCTTCTAACATATGCCCCCAACCAACATAATTATTAACTAATATTAAAATTTTTAATTATAACTAATATTCATGAAATGTATTTAGTAATATTCAAAATTGATTGCTTCTAACATATGCCCCTAACTAATTCTTAACAAGAATTATATTGTAACTAATTATTTGTTAGAATTCAATTTATTCAACTATAAATTTTAGATTTGGAATTTATACTGAAAATGAGAGAATAGGTCTTTGGACATACTGATTGAGAATCGGACTACAATTCCACGATCCGCGCAAAAAGGAGATCATTCTGTCTTTTCGGGCCTCATCGGAGTGTCGCCGGCCGGTCATCGGACCGCTGTCGGTGGCAGCTGTGCACGGTGGCCGAAAAATTCCAAACAACCCAGAAATTTGCAAGAATTTCACCACTCGACTCAAAATTTCATGGGGAACTCGAATTATGCGTCCATTTGTCGAGTCAGTGGCCCATTTGGCCGGAGAGAGCCTCGACAGCCAGCAAGAAGCCACCGATCACGGTGGTTCCACCATTCTCTGTCAGAAACACAGTTTAACAGAGGGAAAATGTTTGTGTGGCTACCAGGAAGCGATTTCGCCCATTCTTAGTGTGCACAATGGTCGAAAATGGTGGATTTTTGCCTGAGATCGAAGAGTCGAAACTGTTGAAGGAGACGGCTCCAATTTGCGTCGTTGGAGGTCCCATCGGAGCGAGGGAAGGCTGGAAAACGGACTAGCGACTCTAGGGAAGTCGATCGCCACCTCCCTTGCATCCGATGGTGGTCGAAAACGGGCTGAGCGAGGAGGAGCGGTGCTGCCCTTTTGCGTGCACGCAGAAGAAAAAGAAGAAAGGAGAAAAAAAGAAAGAAAGTAGGTCGGTTTCTAGATTAATCCGGTTTGATTCAAATCGATTTGGTCTGATTTAATGATCTGACTCGATTTTACTTAGTTTACGGGCTTTTCACTTGGTTTTTGGAAATTTCAAACGGGTTTAAGGGTCCAGTTAATTTATTTTATTTTATTTAGTACTTAACGTCCAATATAGTTCTTAAAAAGTTAGAAAATTTTTGGTTAGGAGTTGCGATACTATTCTTTGGGCTTGGGCCCAACTCGCGAATTGGACGGGCAAGATTGTGCAGTATCTGCAGCTCACACAGTTCAAAAAATATTCTAATTTTTAATTTAATAAAAATTCAAAAGTTTCGTAAATAAAAATTCGGGGTATTTCAAGCCATTGTAGAACATAAATTGTTGAAAAGTAGATTCAACACATCCTTCTCATAAATCAAACCCAAATACTCAAACCAAGAATTCCACATCTTTCTTTAGATCTAATTACCTCATCAACAAAAATAAAAAATAAAAAATAAAAGACACTATCGATCTAACTGGAGCTATAATTCCTTAACAAGATCTCTCTTTCTTTTTAAGATCTGCATCTCTCTTTCTTTCCAAAATTTGCTTATCCTCTTGCCATCTCTAAGAAATATTTCATAGATCTTCACGATGTTCAATAATTACTGTTTCATTATGGAGTGAAATTACAATAAAGACAATTAACTTTTTGTATTGGTATAGAAATTATTTTGTACCATTTGATTTTAGTTGTTCAAATAACACTCATTGGATCAAACTTCAAAGTAGTAACCAATTAACTGCTAAACAAGTTAACTATTTTATTTTTACTTTATCACTTAAAATTATAAAATACAGTTTGAAACTTTCTCCTGAATTCTCACCTGATCCTATATTTTTACTTTTCTTCAAAAAGTAAAATAACTTTTGCAGCAACACACTCAAAGAAAGAATAAGAACTATTGGAAGTATCTGAGTTTGTAAGGTGTGATAATATGATTAAATTTCTCCTATCTTCTTTTAATTTCGTTAATACAACATTAGGAATAAGAGTTCAATCCAATTATTTTAATGTGAGTGATAAATTTTTCTTAATAATATTTGAATAGATGCACTAATAGGGATCTAATTGTAAGCTTAATAATTTTTATATAAAAGCATCTTTAAACTAACTATGCATCACAAAACTAGAAAAATACTTGGCCATGATAAAAGTATTTCTTAGCTCCTTCATTCATCAAATATTAATGGATCAAATTTTCATTTTTCCTTTCTTATTCAAGCAGGAAACGCAAATTTTGATAAGCAAACAACTAAAAAATTAATTATAAAAAATATAATCTTATTTAGAAAAAAAAAAAAAAAGAAAAACTAAAACGACCATTGTAAGCAAATCAACACTGACAAATAACCTAAAAAATTGTTCAAGCTGCAATGAGATATCCAAAGAACCATAAAAAACAACTCTAGTTGCATAAAATATAATTTTCTCCTCATCCTCAAAAAGAAAAACAAAACTTAAAAGGAATTACTTAAGTTCTAATAATTTGACGATCCATCATCGTCATCTTAAAGGGGAAGAATAAGAAGGTTGGGTGTATATAGTGTGATATTAATGCAGCTTTGGATCTGAATAATAATAAAACTAAATAAAGATAATCTCGCCCAAAAATTCAAAAACGAAAAAAGAAGCTTTAAAGGGACATTTTAATGAATATCTACAATGCAAGTTATAATAGACAAATAAACTAAATAATTAAAAGGGATAATTAATTTACTTCAATTATACAAGCAACAATTCCAGTAAGCTTCAAATTCAATCATCAATTAATAGATTCTCAATGCTTTGATATTACTGACGGAAGGAAAACAAAATACTAAGAATAGTAATTTGCTTGGGGAGCGACTAGTATTAATTTTACTTCTTTTTATTAGAATTGAATAGTGAAAGTGATGGATCTAGAAGGAAGAGGAAGAAAAGGAAAGTGAAATGCGAAAAAAAAAAAACAAAAATAGATTAAAGGAAGGGAACATCAAACATTAATTAAAAAACTAATCTAACTGGTAAAAGAATACCTATTGTCGTAGGTTACGAAAACATGCATAAGTTATTTGCCTTATATTTATTGATACATTAAATATATTCTGTACATTTGTAAAAGCTTTCATTATATATCTTAAGAAAGCTTTAAATATGTAATTAATCAAGTTCAAAGAAGTGAAATTACTTATGAATATGAATAATATGTTTTCATATATTTACTTATTTAATAATAATAGATTTTAAGTCAATTCAGTTTATTTTAACTTTTTGTTTGGTTTATTGTGGTATGTAGGATTTTATGTCAATTGTTGTTGAGTGTTTGTATTGCAAAATCTACATCTCAAATTGCAAGGAAGAAAAAGGGGTTTGCAAGAAAGAGAAAGAAGAAATTTTTAGCTAGACGTAGTCTACCACATCAGCTATAGACTCATGTAATGAAATAAAGCTGTATGAGATTAATCTATTAATGAAAAATTTTCATTCCATTTTTTCTAGCTTATTCCGATTAATTCTTTCACTTTTTCCATTTGGTTAGAGATAGAAAATCTAATTACCTTGATTAAGGAGTTACTGATGTGAAAAGAGTTAGAATGATCTGTGGTGTGTCTATTTCATTGGGTAAATTTATAATTAATATGATAGACTAAGCCTACCTAAGCATTTCTCAAGAGAATGAGGTTTGTAGAGAAGGATCTATAAATTTAGAGGACATTTTTGATTTTTCATAAAAAATTAACGGTAAAGATGTAAAATTTAGACGGAAGGATAATAAAGTATAACATAACAAAATATAGAAATATGACTGTGTTTTTTAAAATGCAAGGATAAATTAATAATTTATGAAAAATTATAGAGATAAAATTATAATTTTCCTATAATTAAATGGTTTGATTTGAATTTTTAAACCATAAATTTTTGTTTGGTTTGAAAATTGTTTTCAAATGGCACCGAACCAAACGTGTACCCCTTAGCCATAGGGGCTTGTAAATGGTTCTTTTTCCACACAAAACACGGGAAAAAAAAAAGAAAAAAGTAGCCTTCGTTGAGAAGGGTTTAAGGAAGAGCGAAAGAGAAAGCCAATAGCTTAAAAGGATGGCGTCGTCGAAAGGTGGTGGAGGAGGGAGTAGCCCGATGATTAGAGTAGCGGAGATGGAAAGAATGAGTATAGAGCAACTCAAAGCATTCAAAGAGCAGACAGATCTTGAAGTCAATTTGTTGCAAGACAGTCTCAACAATATTCGCACTGCCACTGGCCGCCTCGAGAATGCTTCTTCTGCTCTCCACGATCTCTCTCTTCGCCCTCAAGGTCATCCGTTTTTCTTAATTTCTCTCCATGCTATTTATTTATTTTATTTCTTCACAGATTCTTTAAATTTTTTTTCTAATTGTAATTTAGGGAAGAAAATGTTGGTGCCTCTTACTGCATCCCTTTATGTACCTGGAACGCTTGATGATGCAGATAAAGTACTTGTTGATATTGGCACTGGCTACTTTGTTGAGGTCTTTATTTGACTTGATTTTGGTAGTTTTCCTTTTAGTTCTTTGTTCAAGATATTGGAACTGCATATGCTTCTTTCTTATCAGTTGCAAAATAGTGTAGAAAGATGCATCTGATTCGGTCATTTAATTCTTTCATCATTTCACATTGATTTTTTCTTTTTTTTTTTTTTTTTTTTGCAAAAATAGTTTGTAGAAAGATGCATCTGATTCGGTCATTTAAATTCTTTCATCATTTCACATTGATTTTTCTTTTTTTTTTTTTTTTTTTTTTTTTTTTTTTTTTTTGCTTGGTTGGTTTTATGTGAATGCTAGAAAACCATGGCCGAAGGTAAAGATTATTGTGAGCGCAAAATCAACTTGCTAAAATCTAATTTCGATCAACTGATTGAGGTATGTACGCAATAAAAATTTATGCTGTTTATGTTGATTGATAGTGGCTGTCTATTTTTGAATCATGTGTAAAGGAATTAGTAGCTGTGAATCAATTGGAACAACTCTGTAGAAAGGGAAGAATTGTTTAGCAATTCTTTATGACAATATATATTCATCAATGCCTGCCATAAAAACGAATCAAGTGTTGCTTTCTTGAATTCCCATTTGATATCTTTGTTTTCATCTTGGCAAATGATAGTCTTTCCAGTAAAGGATTGTGATGTCTTCGAATATGTCAATGAGAATGTAGTTATACATAAGCATGCCAAAACTCATCTTTCTTGAAAAATGTAAGGAAAGTCCCATTTTTTAATTATTATATGGATGAAATCGATTTAAGAATAGTGAGATACTAGAAGTCTCTGTTAATGATTCAATCCTTCTAATAAGTCCCAAAATGGTATTGGGGTGCATCTGAAACACCAGTAGTGGCCATAATTTTTGAGAAGTGTACATTGGCTTATTGTACCAATTTCTTCGTGCACATTGCCACATTACTAATTTGCCTAGCATATATATACTTTTCATTAATAAAATTTTAATTCGAATCTTATAAATAAGGAGAAGAAAATGTATAAAATCATAGAGTATGACCTAAATTTTCTAGTCCAACTTCTTTCATTCACATTATGAATATTAGCCAATGGAACTATGCTTTTTTAAACCTTAAGAGATTTCAAATCAAATCTCCATCAAAACATGTCAAGCAGCAATATTGGCATTCACCAAAGGGTTTTTGGTACTCTTCCTTCTTAATTTATTATTTATTTTGACCATTATATCCTTTATCACTAGTACAAAGTTTTCTTTGGAACTTTACTTTTATCCTTGACCATCCTTTCATGGTACTTTGCCCTACACATGTTTTACCTATTATCAGCAAGCATTTGCAGTATCTTAAATAAATCACCTGTTTGCTATTAAATTAAGTTTGTTAATTTGTGACTATGATATTTTGCTTAATACTTAATTTTGTTGTTTTATTTTAGATATCAATCACAGTTGTTCTTTTAGAATTTGCGATTCTTAAGAAATATGCTCATTAAATTCTGTGAATTGGTCCTCTCTTAACAAACTGTGAAAGAATATCAATATTGCAACATAGACAAAATGTTCATTTTTAAAAT